GAGTTACTATGAAAATCTTCCTTTCTTTAGTTTGGACTCTGTCATGCTAAGCTGAGAGTGCTTTGTTGTGGATGCATAGCTATTTCAGGTTTCTGGGGCTGGGGGAAGGAAGGCTCCAAAGCACACTGAATTATTTATGCCTGTCTCTATTTTCTTAAGAGCGTGGCTTCAGCCTCTGACACTCATGTTCATGAGGTGGAGGATGGGGTACTGCAATCTCTGTTCCATGTGTTATCTCTCTTCCAGCATTATTTGTCTGTTCATTTCTTTGTAAGTGAAAAATGGCCTCTAAATGAAGTTTCCATTATATTGTCACAACTTCTATGCACAGATTTAATAGTGATTATATTCTGTGTTGAGCACTTTAAATTTCTGATTGTGGATAGATATTTACTGGAGATTTTTTTTTTTTACTAGATAGAGATTTTATTTATAATAGCACAAGTTGTTCTAATTGGAATTTATGAGCTTTTTAAATATGTGTCAGCATCTGTAAGATCCTCATGTAAAATGTTTCAGGTTTTGATATTTTTAACCTGAAAGTTGGTGCTTTATGTTTATCAAGATTTGTGAGTTTAGTTTTTCTTGAGGTGATGCTAGGCAATAACACACCCCTGTTCACCCTATTTCAGGAGCATAGCAATGTTCAGACATGTTTATAAAGCCCTGATAATTGTTGTACCTGTTGTTTCCCTTTGTGATATTTGGAGCCAGACACTTGTTCAGAGAAGAGCAGTGAAGCTGTGAAGATTGAGTTCTACAAGGAGCAGCCGAGGGAGCTGTGGGTGTTCAGCCTGGAGAAAAGGAGGCTCAGGGGAGGCCCTATTGCTCCCTACGGCTGCCTGAAAGGAGGCTGGGGCTGCCTGGGGATCAGCCAGTGACAGGGGAAGAGCACATGGTCCGCACCAGGGGAGGCTCAGGTTGGACATCAGGAGGAATTTCTTCACTTGTTAAGCATTGGCACAGGCTGCCCAGGGAGGTGATGGAGTCACCATCCCTGGGGGTGTTTGAGAAACCCCTGGATATGGCACCTAGTGCTGTGATGGTTTGCTCAGAGGTTGGACTCGATGATCATGGGGGTATTTTCCAACTGTTTTGATTCTGTGATTGCCCAATGGTTGTTACTCCTTTCTTTCTGCTTTAAAATACTCAGTACTGTCTGTTTTACCACTGACAGCAGTGGTGATATATTCATACAATTAATTTGGCTTGTCAGGTGTTAAATGGGACTTATCACAATGAGAAAAGATCTTAATAAAGGAACTTGTTAAGGAAGTCTTCTTTGTAGTGTCAGAACGCAGGAGACTGGAAAAAAAAAAGACCAGGTGGAATATTGCATCCCTGCTGCAGTGTGTTTTTGTCAAATAAAAAGATGGCAAGTGGAGTGTATTAGCTTGTGGCTGCTGCTCAGAACTTTTTTTTCAACCTTTGTGCCTGCAGTGATTCAGGGTCAGCCAAGCATGGTGCCTGTTAGCTCCCTGCAAGTGCAGCAGTTATTCCATTGTGGCACAGCATGATGTGCAGCTCTTTGGCCATTTCCAGGGTTTCCATATCAGAGTGGTGCTGGATGTAGCTACAATGGTCTGTACAGTCCTCATTTCTCTGAACTTGCCCATCTGTGAGTGTGGTGGTTTGCAATTGAGACAAATGTGTAGGTTTACCTCTGCCTACAGCAGAATGTAGGTCTGGGGTATGGTCTGCTGAGAGAATCAGGCCACCGTGCTTGACATGCTCTGTGGTAAAGAACTGTGAATGGGCAGCAAGCTGTTCTCTGAGATCTATTTGCAGTCATTCCCTGTGTTTTCTGAGGTTTTCAGGATTACTTTTCACTGGAGGAGCAAACTCTCTGTGAAAAAACGTGTAGGAATAGTAACAGTAGTGGTTTTAAAAGTCAGGCTGATTTATCAGAGGTACCATGAAGGAGTGTTCTTTTCCTCCTGTGGGTGAAAGATGTTTGTCCAGTATTGAGCTGTGTAAGAGAGCAAAGAGGTGGCAAATATATGAAAATGAGCATGAGGACAACCTGAAGCTGATTAAAGAAAAGAAGAACATGAAGCAGGCAAGTAGAAATGTCCTGCTTAGACAGGTGGCTGCTAACAGACTGTTTGAGCTATGTGATGTAGGAAGATAAAGTAGAGTTCTGAACAAGTAGAGGTTGTGGGTATGTCTGCGAAATGGCCATCCTTGTCATATTCAAAATGAACCAAATGAGGTTCAGGGAAAAAGTGCTGCCTAGCAAACTGAGTAGATTTGAACTGCAGTAACTGCTGGATAGCTTCCTTCTCTGAAGTGTAATCTGGGATCCCAGTGCAAACTCCTCCACTGACAGTCATGTTTTCAGGATAAGGTTAAAGCATTTGACATAGTGTTTGACTGTTACATACTTGCCTGTATGAAATACACTGTGTTGAAATGACCTCTACTTGCTGGGCAGCTTGCTCATGCTTATGAAATACACTGTGTGTTGAAGGGAACTCTAGTTATAGAGGAGCTTACTCATACTTTCATGCTTAAGAAGCATTACCAAAATGGCAAGTTTGTTTTTGGTTCAGTAACTGTTGGTGTATTTAAAGAAAAAAAAAATCCCACACTTACTCATACTTTCATACTTATAAAACATTACCAAAATGGCAATTTGTTTTAGGTTCAGTAACTGTTGGTATATTTAAGGGGGGAAAAAATAAAATTTCACACATAGAAAATAAAATCTCTCACATAGTTGAGACTATTTCTTTCAAGGAGGTTTCAGAATTTTAAGGGCATTAGATACCTACAAGCTTTTAATTCTTTTCCCTATCTACCCAGACTGTAGGTATGTAAATGTCTCCTTGCATACCTTTGTATTTGTTCAGTAACAGAATGCTGAAGTATTTCCCCTCTTCTTAAGCTTATCTGCCAATAGCTTTAGGTATTAATTTAATAAAAATTAGTATTGTATATAATTTAAACCTTTCTTGCTAGGCTCTTGGATGCTTAATGTTTTCCAGCTGTGTCATGCATTTCAAAGAAATCTGCTTAGTGTTTGGAATAAAGGAAATATTTATTTTGAATAGTGAGATTCTCACTAAATCTGCAAGTTGTTCAAGATTTTGGCTCATTTGGCAATGTATCAGAGGACAGATTTGGTGCTCTAAAAGATGAGTTACCTGAAGGCAGATGGAAACTCCGAGAGTTCTGGAAAGCAGTTTCATTGACATCACCAGCGCAGCAATACTCATACTCGGAGTAATTCATAACAAAGTACTGAGTGGTTTCATTAGTGCTGAAGGTTGGGCAAACACTCCCAATCACTCCTGGTTCCAGTTAAACCTGGTGCTCTGACGACTTGCAGGCAATGAATGGCAACTGAAGTGGGACTTTTTATCTGTTCTGTGTGCAAGACCCTCCTGTAGAGCCAGCAGTGTCCCAGATTGGAGCACAATAGGCAGGTCTGCAGCCCAGGGTCCTCTGACAGATGTGCTTTATCAGCTGAAGTAATTCCAGCTCAAAGTAGCTTGTCCTTTCCCACTGGTCAAAACTCTGCTTATGAAAAGGGATTTGTTTGTTTCCTAATGCATTTTCAGCTCAAGTGGATGAATATAATTTTACCTAATTTGTGTGTGAGTGTGTGAGTTCCCTGGACAATTCATTGCCTCACGTTGTGTTGGTAGAGGGCACTTCTAACATGGAACTACTTGACCTTTTTTTTGCAAGGTTGAGCATCTGTGTGATCTGTTCATAGCCCACAGGCAAACAATTACCATTTTATGGATTACAGTCTCTATAGAAAAGGAATTCTTCCTCTGTTTTATTATCTGCTGTTCTGTGAGAAGTATGTACTCAAATGGCAGCTTAAGAAAAAAAAAAAAAAAGGAAAAAGCAAAATTTGAATGGTTTGAAGCATATGCAAGCTAATGGTAAAAAAGCAGCTTTGCACACTTCCCCATGCCCAGCATTGTCTTGCAGATGAATCTGGGGGGGAAACTCAAGTGCTGATTGTTTCTAAGGAGAGCAAATGTGTGCAAGTATTTTACTTCTTCAGGATATTGTAGAAGATTAAGAGAAACATGTTTGTTTGTTTGTTTATATTTGTATATTTTTGAGTTTCTATTGCTGTGATAAGAATTATGAAGAAAATTTAGACATCTGTGTTAAGTGCTTTTTAAACAAGTGATAAACACCCCACATTTTTGTTTTGTAGCCATATGTACCAGAAATTTTTCTAAATGGTGGAAAAAAATGTCAGATATGGCAATGTACACAAGACCAGCTACAATAGTGTAATAGTCCTGAAACAGTTTGTATTTTTCTTAATATATTGTCATTGCAAACACTTAAAAATATCCTATAAACATGTCACATTAGCCTACATAAACAAATAAACAGCAATCAATTAACTTCAGGTAAGAGCAGCAATGCAGACAAACCACAAAGAAAATAAAGTGCAATTAGTGCTTCAGTCTCTCTCCCATCTGAGTAGATAAATTGACTGACAGTTTTGGATGTAATTGTGCTGTATCTTTGTTCTGTTTCCAGTTATACTGTTGTCCTCTTTCAGGAATCCCTCTAACATGTTTTATCTTTCCATTTTAAAAATATTGAAGTGCATGGGAGCAGAGGGAGTAAATTATTTAAAGTTATTCTGTGTGTCTGCACTTGCCTGAGTCAGCAGAATACATCTAGGTCATACGTTCCCAAGGAGCTCCAGTGCAGAGTCTCTTCTTTCAGTGGGGACTAAGCAGGCTCATCAAGGCACAGTTCTCTTGCCTTTTTTCCTATTTATGCCTTCACAAAGCTTGGGTGAAAAATGATGCAAATTATTATATTTTTAAAATTAAATTCAGATAGGCTTCCTTCGAGCTGACCCATTCTTCCCTCGTCATTGGACAATCGACTGACAGAGGGAGTGCGTTCCCTCTTAGCTACACTGCTACCAGCAGGCTGAATGATTCTCTAATCTATGCACTTATGAATAAAAAACCCCACTAGTTTTGTTTGTTGATGCTTTCTTTCCTTCCTAGGATGGCTGCAGCTCCTCCAAGCTACTGTTTTGTAGCCTTGCCCCCCTGTTCCAAGGATGGGCTGGTGGTGTTTGGGAAGAACTCTGCACGGCCCAGGGATGAAGTACAGGAGGTGGTGTACTTTGCTGCTGCAGAGCATGAGCCAGGAAGCAAAGTGGAGGTAAGGGTGAATTGTGGCATTCAAACTGTGAGAAATCACTGTTGCTGGAAGAAATGAATGCTGTCTTGTTTTCCCATCAGATTGTGGAGTCCTTACTCACTTCACTCAAATCTCTTGAGTAGAAAAAGAAAAGATTTTTTTGAGTTTGAAATGTTTGAAAATGAAACTTACAATGTAACTTGTTTAACTGGGGAAAAATCCATGACCTCTACTTTTTCTGGCAGACAGGCAAAACTGCTCACATCTCAGATTCCTGCACCATGTGGTCAATTGATTTACTTCTAAGGGAAAAATCTCCTGGCTAACTGGAAATAGAAGCTAATTTTTGGAGTTTGTCGTGTGCCAAATGAATTACTCTCATTCATGGTTGTTGTTTGGCAGTAATGGGGCCTGGCTATGCTGCACAGGTTGAAAAACAGGAAATCTGTTTTTCAGAAATTTAGCCAGAAATCTGGGACTTGAGGAACTTGTATTCTAATAAGGGAATGTGAGAGGAGGAGAATGCGAGTGCTCAAGTTTGTAAACCAGACTTAACTCTTGTACATGCCATGGGCTCTGTTGGCATGTTCTGCACCTGCATCATGGTCAGTTTTTAGTGCTGTGGCTTTTCTTGAATCCAGGCTGGATGTGGAGTCCCGAAGCTGGACACTGGTGCCGTGGATGCAGGTTGGCAGGGACCCTGCTGGAGGTTGTTGTAATTGCAGTCTGTCACTGCAGCCTTGTTCTAATGACAAGAAACGAAAGGATAAGCAGATGTGGAAGAGTGAAGCAAAGGGACAAATGAACCAGAAGACAGGAAGAGGGGAAAGTGTAAAGTGAAGGTGGAATGAAGAGACTGAGGCATCAGAAGGAAAGACAAGGATCTGTGCAGCAGTCATTTTATCAGAGGAGACAGAGCCTGATGTGGCACTGCCAGCAGCTTTTAGGGTCCCAGGTTCTTGCTCTGCCTGGCCTCTGGGAAAGCAGAGTCTGTGAGGCTCCCTGCATTCAGCTTCCTCCTGGCCCTGTGGCTCTGCAGAAGGCTGAGGACAGGAGGTGTTCTGCACCAGGCTGATGCCTCTCATCCAAACACATTCTGTGTGGATCTAGTTGCACTTACCCAGAAGAGATCTGAAGGCCAGTGCCACTTTTAATGCTGTTTTTCAAATGGGATGACTTCCAGATTTCACAGGCTTTGGTGCTCTTCTTTCTGTTAATGTTCCCTTAATTCTTCTTTCTGCCAGCATCTAGTACAACTTATGCATTATTAAATGGTTTAATTTTGGATATAAAGAAACCCCCTCCCCCAGTAGCACTATGCACAGTTGAGTGCTGTAGCACCTTGTAGACATGTGCTGGCACATGTAACACAAGTGTGACAGTAAGACAAGAAGAAAGCTTCAGAGCAGTTTGTTTTAAAGCACCTCTTCATAGAACAGGAAATGGAAAAAAAAGTTCTGTTATTGGGGAAGAAGAACTTTGGAAAGCTTCTCTGTTTTGTACCCTGAATGGAGAATAATTTGTAAGAACTTACTGTAAGAGTTCTTGATTCTTTTGGTCTCTTTGCCCCATATCTTACTCTTTCATGAGATTGTCATAATTTGCTGAAGCATATAATTAAGCCATATATAATAATCTATAATTTTATAATTGGCATAAAATTAAGCCATATATAATCTATTATGATTTCTCTTTCACACCATGATTAATTGGTTTAGTGCCTGCTTTTTAGAATTCAGTCATGAACTCGGCTCTTTTGCCAGACCTTTTAGAAGCAGAAAGCATAATTCCTTTTCATAGCACAACACACTTGTAGATTTAGTCTGCCAACAAGGATCTGCAAACATCTCCTTAAATGCTGATTTTTTTTTAATCAAGGTAAAGTTTTTTGCAGTGTGGTGAAGATGCACTTTTAGATGACAGACTGGAGGGGGCCATTTTTTTTTTCTAAAGTAGGAGCTTAAATCCTAATTAATGACTACTTTGGCTTCTGCTAATCTAAACTACAATGTAATTCTTCATTAGCTATCCTGAGGTTTTTCAAGTAAAATTGTGTGCAGCAACATACAGGCTCCAGATGTTTGCCAAAATTCTTCCTGTTTCCTCCTAGCACAGGATAAAAACATCATCATTTTCTCTGAGAGCAGTGCAAGTAATTGCTTATCACTGCCTCTTCATCACACTCAGCACTAAGTATTGTTAATGTGCTTTTATTTTTTTTTACTCATGCATATTTCGAGTGGAGTAAGCTGGTTAAACCACAGAACTGATTTTACTTGTTTTGTTAGGTCCAGGGTAGCTGTCTGGGAGGTTTTCAGTTGTTGTGTATTGGTAGTGAGTGGTACCTCAGAGACAAGAAAAGCTTCAAGGAAAGGCTTGGGTCCAGCTGCTTCCCTTGTTCATACCAGGCATGCAACACTCTCCACCTCTGAACAAACTTGTCAGAGGTAATTAACTGGTGGGGGAGTGGAGAAGAGTGTCAAAGCTTCCATATGTAGCTTTGACATGCTCAGGGTTAATACTTTGTTCTTTGAAACCCATGAAAGCTGCCAACACTCCAATTACTGTTGGAACAGGTTTTCTTTTTTACTACAGCTTTCCTTCCCTTGCACTTTGTAAAACTAAACAGCCCTGAGAAATTAAATGTATGATATTTACAAATGGAAAAATGTGCCTGATCAATTTCACACTACAGTTTTTCCAAGTCAGTAATCCTTTGTGCCTCTGACTAGATTTTTCTTCTCATCCGTCCTAGTGTTTTGGGTTTCTTTTTCCCAAAGGAGCAGCTTTTCTCTCCATTCCATGTTGTATATTTGCTTTGGTTTCTTTACCTTCAATGGACAATGATAGTGGACTTGGTTTTCATTCTGTTCTGTTTTTTGCACACAGTGTGGTTCAGTGTGTATCAAATTGTGATTACCTGGTTGTGGCTGCCACTCATGTTCTGAATTTCTGTTAAGAGGCGGTAATAGCACGGATTGTTCTACAGAACTCTGTCAGGGAGTTTGTATGCTATTTATTTCCTATTTCTGTTCTGTGCTGCTCCTGTTTGCATCTGTGAAAATGCACTGTGTAACCAAAAGCGGCTCACAGTAATTCAGTGAGATTGCTGCCATAAAGGAATTGGGAGGGCTGTGCTGTACAGCTCTCAGTCACTTTGTGGCAGGGTCTCAGGGGGACTCAGTGAATACTGCAAGTCATTTTCAGCCCGATCTTTGTGCCTCAATCTACCAGACAAGTAACCCTGCAGCTAGCTCATCAACATAATTCCTTCCCTCCACGTCAGCAGGTTCCCAAGACCCTGAACAATGGGGCTTTTCATTAAAGGTCCCTTCTGTGCATGTGTGTGACAACTTTCTCAAAGGTTTGTTCTTCCCCTGCATTGCAATTTTGCAGGGGCAGATGCTGATCAGCCCTCTTCCTTGTTGTAGTGCTCAGCCTACTGAATTTGTGTGAGCAGGTGAAGCGTTGCTCCCCTAAGCATAAATAAGGTCCTTTTTGGAATTCCTCTACTAAAAGTATGTTATTTTTTTTCCCCAGATGTGGATTTTAAGAATTTGTAACATTAGTGAGAATTAGGATGCAAGCCCCTCGGTCTTATTTATTTTCAAGGTAGATTTTACTTACTAGATTTCTTTTATTCTCTAGTAACCTGCTGTGGTTTTCCTTCTGCTGAAGAAGTCTTGGCAAAATGACTTTTTGTGGATGAATTTCCCATGTGGATTTTTTTTCCTTTTAGATCCATCTTCCTTTCCTCTAATTTGACCTTATATTCATGATTTCAAAATAGTCTTGGTTTCTTGTTTCACTACCGAGCTGTAAAAGCTCTTTCACCTTAACAGCATGCACTTCTTACAGAGGAATGGAAAGGGGAAAGTAGAAAGGGTAGACTAGCAAAGAAGTCTATAAAAGTGTGGAACATTCCAAATTTTTCTACTATGTTGGTATGAAACACAGATCTGGGCTAAAAGCCAGCCCTCTGTGGGGTAGGAGGAATTTTCTTGTTCTCTAATACATCGTGACATAGTTATGCCTTAGTTATTCTTTTGTTTTGCTCTGTTGGCTTTTTGTTTTTTTTTTTTTTTTTTTTAAATGGATATCATTCTACCTCCCCTTGCTCTGAGTTTTCAGAGGAGCAGTAAGATTTTTTCTCCATGTTGGTCTGAGGACTGCAGACATAAAAACTCACCTAAAGGAAACTGATGGGTTCCTGCCTGGTGTCACAAGACAGTGTAAAGCTTGGAAAGCAAACTTTGACTGCATTAAAGTTGGCTTTGTATCACCTGGTGATCTTAATCCTGGTGTTTGTAACATCATCACCAGGCACCACACCGGTGCTGCAGTTCAGTTCTGGGATCTTTGGTTCCCCTTGTTGCCAGTTATTTGGGTTTTCTGCGTTGTGTCATGGGCAAGGTGTTCAGAATCTGGTAACATAAGTCAATTGGCAGCAGGATCTACTGAGAATTTGCTCTTTGGGGAGCCTCCAGGTGAGACTGGCAGTGCTAACTCACATTGCTGCAGGTGTGGGTGCAAACCTGGGTACCTCCATGGGAAAGTGGTGCCTGGCAGGAAACCTCGATGAGGCACAGCAGTGTTTGTGCCTGTGATGGAGCATTTTGCTTACTCTCTGTAGACAAATGAGGTTCTAGCCTGCAGATTTGCAGTCCAGAGGGGGTTTAGGAAGCTGCATTCCTGCCTCTCCGCTGAGACAGCTGCTGGTGGGCAGCAGAGCTCCTGCGCACACGGACTGGAGGCTTTGTCCAGGCCACCCTGCTGGAGCTCACCCTGAGACTTCTCACAGAGGTAGAGAGGCACCACGCAGGCAGACAGCAGCTAAGAAAAGAAACTGGTTCCTGCCTTCAGCTCCATTTTCTTGGCTAATGAGTGTTTTCTCTCTTCTGCTCCATTGCAGGCCACTGGCCTTGACACTGATGTGTCTGACTTTGCTTTGTAGCACAGTGCTCACCCCAGCAGCAGCTCAGAGCTGAAAGCCAAAATCTCTTGGATGTTTCTGCCCTCTC